TTTCCTGTCAGGGCACATACCCAGGTTGCAGGTTCAATCCTTGGTTGGAGCACATTCAAGAAGACAACCCATCAATGTTTTTCTCTTTCTCCCCCTTCTTCTCTCTCCCTCTTCTTCTCTCTCTTTCAAGCAATGAAAAAAAAATGTCCTCAGGTGAAGATTTTTAAATAATTCATTGGTCGATTTTTGTATGTGCCATGACCAGGGATCAAACCTGCAACCTTGGGATATCAGGACAATGCTCCAACCAACTGAGCTACATGGCCAGGGCTATGGTTATTTTTTTAATCCTTATCTTTCAGAGATACATACTGAAATATTCATAGGTGAAGTGACATGTTGTATGGATCTGCTTCAAAATAATATAAAAGGAGGGAGAATGGATGGTGTTATTAAAAAAATAAGAGTTGATAAATATTGAAGCTGGATAACAGGAACCTGTGGGTTCACTATACTGTTCTATTTTCATGTTTTAATTCCTCCATAATAAAAAAAAATTTTTTTAACAAAAAAAAAAAAAAATAAAAAAAATAAATAAATAATTTTTTAAAGATAGTTTAAATTATTTTGAGGTTTTTCTTTCTTAATACCATCATTTTTTAAAAATCAACCTTAAAAATAGAATTTTGTTGATAAAATGTTCAGGTTCAGCATATGGGCTGAATAAACGCCTCATTGGAACTGTGCTGTAATAAAACTATATTTGGGGTAACATAACATACCAGTTACTTTTGCTGATTTGTGGCAGCTCCAAATGAACAGAAAATAGTTGTCTACGATAAAACTATAGACCCTTCTGATAATTACTATTGCTGCCATGAATGAGGCCAGATGTAGATCAAAAGAGAAAAACTAGAATAAGTTTTACAGTTTGTTATACTCACAGCTCCCTGGAGAGAAACAGCATACCACACAGGCCAACTCAGTTCAAGCACCAGGGTTGGTCAAGAGGCAGAGGGAGAGAGGGGAACAATGGGCAAGTGCCTCTATTTTGGTTTCTGCAGAAAGAAACATGATGGGGTACAGTAAACAGGCTTAAGATTAGCTTCATTATTCAGATCAAGTTATTCAAAATCTTCAGCAGACTTTGTAATGTAAAGACTGTTCTTGGTTGTCTGGTACATAGCCCTGGGGAGTTAGGGTCACTGTACAGTGGCCTGGAGTGTGAGAGCTCTATAAGGGAGGTGGATAGGGGAGGCAGGAGATAGCCAGGAAGGAGGAAACTCCAGAGATGCCCCAGGGCTTACAGAAAGGACATCAATGAAGGACAGAGACCCTGTTCTAAGATCGGTTGTTCCTGCTTTCTGGAAAAGCGCTGAATCATGGTGAATCAAGAATGCACCTCTGCAGAAGATACTGCATGACCCCTGCTTCATTATAATCGCATTATAATAAATTAACATTGTGGGACCCCCTACCCTGGTGGCCAATCAAGGAAAATTATGGGAAATGACATGTTCAGTAGCTTTAAAGTAATATAACTACTTGTACATGTGCAATAAAACACCATCAAAGCTAGCCAGGAAATATCCACTCTATAAGAATAGAAGCCCTCCAGCCCCTGAGGTCAATCTCTGCTCGGAATTAGCCTGCTCCCATGTTCTGTGGAGTGTGCTATTGCTTAAGAAATCTTCTCTCTCTCTTTCTGCTGTAAACTCTCCATGTGTTCCGTTCTGTTCTTTGTACATGATCACCAAGAACCTGGTTACCTGCCCACTTGTGACGGGTATGGGCTTAATTGGCTACTCAAGAAAGGGAACTGACTGGTCTCTAGACAGGGCCTCAAAACTGGGTCAAGTTAGTATTTATAAAAACTATATCACAACACTAAATATAAGGAAATCTTTCACATATGTAGTTTCATGAAAGAATTGTATAAAATGTATTTGCCATACACAGACAAACCTATAAGACTGCCTACAATAAAGTGTGCTACTTATACAGTATTGATCCAATTCTCTAAGGCAGGAAGTTTCAGGTTGTTGTAGAACAGATTAGTCTGTTTTTCCCTTTTGTTCTCTTACCAGTTTTTAAGAGGTTAATTTAAAGGCACATTGGATCATTTCAGATGTATAATGAGCTTAAACACCATAATTGCTCTTTTCACTTCAGAGTTCCTTGTCAGGATTAGAAAGGAAAGGTAGAAAAATGGTAGCAGCACTTAAACAGTGATATTTCATGGTGTTGTGAAAGTGGAGTTCAATTTGGTAAACAGTTTGTCCTGGAAACTTCAGGAAAGTAGGAAGTTACATTTTAGGTTGCCTTCAAAGCATCAATCTTAGATAAAGTATTAATTTAGGCTAGGAGAGATTTACAAACTTAAAATTACCAAGTAGCAGACATTCAAGAGATTTTAAAGTAGCATAAGAATGCCCTGGTGACTCTTTCCTAGGCTGCCGAAGGACTTATCCTATGCTTGAAGTTTTGTTCTCTGTGCCCAAACAACAGTTAGAATTGCTACTCTGGTAGGAACTTGGTAGCTCCACAGTCCCCTTCTTGGTTCATAAGCATTATTTCCTCCTTCTTTATACTTACCCTTAGGTTTTGAATCCATTAAGTTCTGACTTAAGTCCCACCTTCTCTTCAGTTCTTTGGTATAATAAGCATTCTCGATATGGCAGCATGTGTTAATTTTCTGTCCTGACGAATATTCCCTATCTCTGATATTGGAATCTCAGGGCTTTGGGGTTTCCAACTAACCCGTTGTCATGACTTTGTCTTTGTTCTCTTGAAACCCTTTCACTTATTACAGATGTCCTTGGGAAGCAGCAACATCTATAATTAGAAAGGAATAGATTTCCAGAATAACACTAATCTCCAGCTTTTTCTTATATGTAGTATCATATGTATCAATACCTACTTACATGATTGAGCTCTAAAGAATCCCACAATAACTAAGGATTGTTTCTATTTGTTTTATAAATTATAGTATTTTTTTATCAATTTTGTATCAATCATTAGAAACAAGTAATTTTTGTCCCTTTAGATAAAAAATTATACTTACATAACTCATTTTACCTTTCCCAGCTTTTTAATTTTCTGAGTGAGTAATAAATGTACATGGAGTAGAAGTCAAAATATACAAATGGATAGCCACAATTAAAGAATTTAAATTGCATGAAAAATCTCTGTATTCCTCTTAAAATTCAAATTGAAGACTTTCCAGAATAATGTATTACCATTTGTTAGTAGTAGTGTCAGTATTACTTGTACTTATGTAATTGCATATCTCTCAGATGTTTGTTTAAATCTGATGATAAGTATTAACATAATACTTTGTGAAGCTGATACTTTAATGAACAAAATGAAGCACTACATATATCATTGGTCTAAAATCTGTTTCTCAAAAACTATAAAAGCTTTTCTCAAAAGCTATTAAGTAAATTAATGCCCACCAGAGGATGCTGCAACTGCATGAAGAAAAGCAAACAAGTGTCTCAATGATATCATGCCTGTCTAATTCAAGTCAGGGAAACCAATACTTAAGTACTTATCCTAGGAGATAAAGGTGATGCACATTTATTTTTTGACCTATGACCCATTTACCTTTTGGAAAAAAGGTTGCAGTGAAGAGAGTCTAGGAAAATGCAAAGGAAACATAAGGTATAAAATTAGAAAACTACCTTACTAAAAGTCAACAGACTGTTCTGTGGTTTGTATAATGAATTTAACTGCATAACTGCTTATGTCATTATGATGCTCTACTAATATAATGTCCAACATCCTTAAACAAGGATGCTTTTACATTCTTAAACAAGACTCCCATAGCACTGTAAAAAAAAAAAAAAAAAAAGCCCCCACTGATTGAATCTATGACAAGTATAGGCACTATCCCTTTATTGACAGTTCATATTTTTTTATGGATGGTAGTATGAAAATACACATTATCTTGAGGTAACCTTTCCAACTTCCACCTGGTTATTAGGTGATTTCCTCAAGACCTTTATCACTCTTATTTGCTATTGTGTTTATTATTTGCTTATCTTATTCTTACTTGCCTATGTGTACCTTATTTACTTATATGTTTATTATTTGTCCCCTCTCACTAAAATATGAGTGCTGGGACCCTCTTCTTGTTCATCACAGTATCACTGGCTTCAGGACAGTGTCTGGCACCTAACAGGGCTCGGTAAAAATCATGAAATTAAGGAATCCCACTCCCATTGTGTAGCAGTTGTTCAAATGGTAGTACAAACCATTCATAGTTAAATCCCTACTGTGTGCTATGCTACAAACAAAATTTAAGGATAAATTTAAAAGAGACACAAGAGTGTATAAGATATGGCCCTTTTCTTTGAAGTACTAACAAAATTCCTGTAATTTTTTTATGTACCCTTCTTACTTTCAGAAAGGATTTAAAGTAGTTTTCGGTAAAAGTTACATAAATAGAACTGATAAAGATATAAAAGATAGAAACTAGAAGAAAAAATGGAAAAGCGATACATTTAAAATTTGAGTTAACATAATTTCCATAATCCAGCATGAATTTTAGTTTGAACTTGCTAGTTTTCAGGCAAAGGAACACTGGATATCTAATTATTATTATTTGGCAAACATATTGTCAGTTGGCTTGAAAAGAATGTTTCTTGATATTGAATTCTAAAAGAAGTTTGTCACAGAATCCATATATAAGGGGCACCTGGAATAGTGTGATGGATAATATAGTTAATATTTAGATGATTATTCCCTATGTAATCATTTCTTTATTATATCCTTGCTAAAAACATAAAATTAAGGTTGGGCCTGAGGGCTTGGAGGCTCTGAGGTGGGCTGTCCCGATACCTGGCTTTCTGCAGTACCAGCCTTCAGGAAACCGAGTGAATTCCTGTCTCCTAGCAACGAGGGACGGGCTGGGGACAGAGGGAGCTGTGGTGCACACCAAATTACTGAGGCGCTAGCCAGAACCCACGAACTCGGCCCTAACTGAGCCAATAACCAGAGCTGGGAAGAATAAGCTGGAAACGGTCGACGAGGGGTTGTTTTTCCTTTTCTATAACGTGATGGTGTCAAGAATGTACTACTCGGAGGAGCAGGGGGAGGTGGAAAACAGACGCAATATTACTGAGCTGGAAGACATGGCGTTTCTAGTGGCACAAGAATTGATAGAAAGGTTTACAAAAGATACCTCAGTGTTCAAGGATGAGTTAGATATCATGAAGTTTATTTGTAAAGCTTTCTGGACTACAGTATTCAAGAAACAAATAGACAATCTAAAGACAAAACATCAGGACATCTATGTGCTTCAGGACAACAAATTTCGTCTGCTTACTCAGCTGTCTGCAGGAAAAGAGTACTTAGAATATGCACGTAAGTATTTAACATTTACACATGGCTTAATCAGAGGTGGCTTATCAAACCTAGGGATAAAAAGTATTTTAACAGTTGAAGTGTCTTCAATTAATGCCCGATAGTGATGATACAGAAATTGAAGAACATACTGAAATGCAAGGCTTCAACAGTGTAAAAAGTTAAATTATTCATCTATAAAGAATTTCAAGTAGCAATGATTTAATTACATGGTTGGACATTTGTGTTGATAGAAGCTATTTGCTAACTTGTGTAATGAAAAATGTACTCTTAAGCAGGAGTAAGGTTGTACAGACCAAGTTAAAGCAGATAGAGAGACCATAATATAAACTTTACTCAAAATACTCAGAATGGGAAAAACAAAAACAAAAACAAAAAAACCTGACTTCAAATAAATAAACATCAAGATGTAGGATCCTTATTTTAAACATTTTAATTTGTTTAGAGTGCTACGACGTATTTAACAACAGATGGAGAAGCAGAACTTAGGGTTTGATAAATTAGAATAAAGTATGCACCAGTCAGATTCATTTGTGTAAGAATGAACAAATTTTGCTTTTGTCTTATGAATTTGCTTTAGTTATTTAAAAAAGAAAAGAGCAAAAAAAAAAAAGACATACTATTAAAGCATAACATTAAAGATATTTCTATAGGAATACTAATCTATTGTGGCTTAGATACATTTTCTAATAACCTCACTTATCACAAGTAATATTTGATTATATATCCTTGCCATTTCAAGTTTCATTTGTCTACACTGACTTAGTGAAGAGCCAGATAGCAGTCAGTTCAAGATAACTGTGTGGCAAGGATTCAAAGTCATTTATTATTTATGGAAGGAAAATATATATTTAATATAAGAGATGTGCAAGTAATAAAGTGTACTATCTGTTTTGAAAATTAAGGAGATTGACTTTTACTCTCACCAGGTTAAGAACATATGTGATAACTGTGTCCAGCTTTTAATGTTTTCCATTCATTAGTTAATTTAATCTTTCTAAAACCCCGCTGAAGTAGACATGATGAAATTGCTGGGTCATATGGTAGTTCTAATTTTAATTTTTTGAGGAATTTCCATATTGTTTTCTATAGCTGCTGCACCATTTTTCATTCCTACTAACAGTGTACAAGAGTTCCAATCACTCCACATTCCTTTTTCTTAAGGAATCTTTTTTTTAAAGATTTTATTTATTATTTTTCAACAGAAGGGAAGGGACAAAGGACGAAAAAGGGAGTGGAACATCAATGTGTGGTTGCCTCTTGTGCACCCCCTACTGGGGACCTGGTCCACAACCCAGGTATATGTTCTGACTGGGAATCAAACCAGCAATCTTTTTGTTCTCGGGCCAGCGCTCAATCCACTGAGCCACACCATCCAGGGCATCTCCACATTCTTGCCAACACCGCCTTTTATTTATTTTAACGGCCATCCTAACAGGTGAATGGATATCTCATTGTGGTTTCGATTTGCATTTCCCTGATAGTGATACAGTGATGTTGAGCATCTATTTATATGCCTGCTGACCATTTGTATGTCGTCTTTGGAGAAATGTATAGTCAAGTCTTTAGCCCATTTTTAAATTGAGTTATTAGAGTATTTTGTTGGGGGTTTTTTGTTTGTTTGTTTGTTTGTTTTTGCTATTGGGTGAAGGCTTTATACTTTGGAAATTAACTCCTATGGCTTACAAATATTTTTTCCATTCTGTATGTTGCCTTTTTCCTCTGTTGATTGTTTCCTTTGCTGTGCAGAAACTTTTTAGTTTGATGTAGTCCCACTTGTCTATTTTTGCTTTTGGTGTCACATTCATGAAATTACTACCAAGACTAATGTCATAAAACTTTTTTCCTGTTTTCTTCTAAGAGTTCTGCAGTTTCAGAAGACAATTGTTTCTTGTATATTGAGCTCATACCCTGCAATTTGTTAAACTCACTTAATTGTTCTAGTTTATTTAAAATACCACAAGTTTTTCTACACAGATGATCATCTTCTCTGTGTCTTAATCCATCCAAGCTGCTATAATAAAATACCACACACTGGGTGACTTATGAACAAGAAAAATTTATTTCTTACAGTTATGGTGGTGGGACGTCTGAGATTAGGGAACACGCATGGTCAAGTTCTGTGTCTGGAGAGCTCCCTCTCCTTGCATATTGTTGTGTTGTCACATAGTGGAAAGGGTTAGTGAGCTCCGTGGGATCTTTTTCATAACAGCACAAATCCCATTCACGAGAGCGCCACTCTCATGACCTAAGTACCTCCAGAAGGCCCCAACTTCTAATTCTCATTGAAGACCAATATCCCATTGGGCATTAGGATTTCAATATATAAATTTGGGGGGCACAGAAACATTCAGACTATAACCCAGAATATAAACATCTATTTCTTATTTTTTAATCAAGATGCCTTTTGTTTCTTTTTCATGCCTGGTTGCACTGTCTAGAACCTCCAGTGCAGTGTTAAAGAGAAGTTGTGAAAGTGGACACCCCTGTGTTGCTCCTGATTTTAGGAAGAAAGCATTCAGTCTTTTACCATTACATCTGATTTTTTGGCTTTTATCAGATAGAGTTCCCTTCTATCCTAGTTTGCTCAGTTGTTTTTTTAAAAATCAGGAATAGATGTTGGATCTTATCAAACTTTTCATAGATTCATAGTGATCATGTGGATTTTCTTTCCAAACTTGTTAATAATTGGTTTTAAAATGCTAAACCAACCCCATATTCTTGTGATAAACCTCACTTGATAATGATGTATTATCCTTTTAATATAATGTTGTATTTATTTGATAAAATGTTTAGAATTTTTACATCTATGTTTATGATGCATAACATAGATGAAGTTTGCATATATGTACAATTTATAATTTCCTCTCTTTTTCTCTCTTGCCTTTGCTCTCACTCTTATTCGTACCTGGCTTTGGTATCAAGGTAATGCTAGCCTCATAGAGTGAACTGAAAAGTGTTCTCTTGTATTATAAATTTTGGAAACATTTGTGTAGAATTAGTATTGTTTTAATACTTATTTAATACTAATCCTTAAATGTTTGTAGAATTTAACCAGTGAAGTCACCTGGACATGGAGTTTTCTTTGTAGGAAGAATTTTATAACTACAACTTCAATTTTTTTAATTGGGGGTCAGGGGGGAATGTGTCTTTTTGTTATCTATTTCTTGAAAAAGCTTTGGAAATTTATGTCTTTTGAGGAATTTTTCAATTTCATGTAAGTTGTTAATTTTATTAGTATAAAATTGTTTGTAATGTTGCTTTACTGTTCTTTTACTATCTGTAGAATCTGTAGTAATGTCACCTCTTTAATTTCTGACATTGGTAATTTGTGCCCTCCTTTTTTTCTTTTTGAAGGAGAATTTTTATTACTCTTATGTGCAGAAAAGTCAACAGTATACACTTAACCCAGGTCAGTGGTCAGTTCTTTAGCCTTTGCTTTTTCCAGCTTGGCAATGTGAGCCATCGAGTTTGTACCCAGAACACTGACTACCCAGTGGCAACAGATCTCATCATATTTCATCATTGTAAGTGGTTCAGATAGCTTCCACCAGCCTTGCTAGAGCTTCTTTGTCTTCCGAGTTAACCTGTGTGAAGGTAGTGGTGGTATCGCCCTTCCTATGGACTAGACACTCGACCCTGGCCTTCCCCTCAGTAATGCAATAGGGAAACCCTATCTTACAGCACTGGGCAGGCCAGAAGACAAATAGCTTGATGGGATCCACACCATGTACAATCACTACCAGCTGCAACTCCTTGTTCTCCACCAAAGTTGTGACAGTGTTAACCTCTACAAGGACAGGTGGCCTCTTAGTAGGGACATTCCCTTTGCCAGCAGCTTTTTTCCTCAGCCCAGGCCAACGATCTCTGCTACTTCTCTTGCTTTGTCTCTGGTCTGTACTTGTGGGCCAGGTTAAGTAGTTGAGTAGCTGTTTGGCAGACCAAGGCCTGGTTAATTGCAGGAGGCACTTTCAGACACTTACAGAGAACATTCATTTGCCTCTGCAACTGAATGTAGCAGGTTCATTTGACAAAGCAGGTGAGGTCCCTTTTGGGCTGGATGTCTTGTCCTACACCAAAACTTTGGTGCCTTTCCTCAAGGGACTTAACGACCTACTTGGCCTCCTGCTTCACTACATCAGGGCCACTACCATCTTCTTCCCCTTACTTAGCCTTCTTTCCTTTTGGCATCTTTCACAGGAGGAGGAGACACCCTTTTTTCTTTAGTCTAGCTAGAAGATTATCAATTTTTTTAGATCTCAAAGAGCCAGCTTTTGGTTTTATTGATTTTTTTCTCTTGTTTTTCTGTTTTCTGTTTTACTAGTTTTCACTTAAGTGTTTAGTATTTTTTATTCTGTTTATCTTGGGCTTCATTTGCTCTACTTATTCTAGTTTTTAAGATTGTTCACATTTTTTTTCTAATATTGCAGTTTTTTGGTATAGATATTTCCCCCTGAGTACTGCTTTTGTGGCATCCCACAAATTCTGATGTGTTTTCATTTTATTGGGTGGAGTGTCAATTAGAGTTATGACGGCACATGGCTTTCAAAGTTCCCTAGGGATCATCTCCATCCCAGTTAAGCCTAAAAAAGAAAGAACATGGAGAAAGGTGCTAGGGGGCTTTTTATGACATCACTTCCACTCAAATTCCATTGGTTAGAATTCAGTCACATGGCTTCACCTAATGGTATGGGAAGCTGGGACATGTAGTCTAGTTTTTTGTCTGGGAAGAAGAGGAAAATGTATTTGGACAAACAGCCAGCAATCTCTTTCTATTTTCTGGAAGAACTTGTATAAGATAAGAAATACTTGAATCATGGGTATACAGTAGAAATTGTAAAGTTATTGGGGCCTGCTTTTTCCTTTGGGGGAAATTTTGTAACTGCTGATTCAATTTAATGGATACATGTTCATTTAGGTTTTCTATTACTTCTTGAGTCACTTTTTGTAAGTCATTTTTTAGGTATATATAATTTAGTATAAGTTTTAAAACATTAGCATAGATTTGTTGAAAGTATTTTCTTATTTTAATCTCTGCTATAATTGTATGTTCTTCATTTTTAATATTGTTTACTTATGCCTTTTTAATTTTTTTGATCTTAGTAGAGATTTGTTATCTTATCATTCTTTACCAAAAATCTTAATTCACATTTCATTAATTTCTGTTCTTTATATCCTTCCTTTACATTATTTGAGCTTATTTTGATGGTCCTATACAACTTATAATTTGAGTGCCAAGCTCATTATTTTTCAGATTTCCTTTCTAATATATGCATTTAGTGCCTTACATTTCCCTTGAATTTTGCTCCAGCTTTGTTGCTGCATGTATAGAGAGTGCTTTCATTTTTGTTTCTATGTATTTCCATTGATTTCTTCTTTAAGTTATTTACAGTGTGATTTCAAATTTCCACAAGTATGGCAGGGTATATATTAGGTTATTAATTCCAAAATTAATTGTATTATTTTCAGAGAATGTGATATGTGTAATAATGATTCTGTAAACCTTGTTTAGTCCTCCTTTATAGCCTGATATATTCTTGGTAAGTTTGAGATAGCTTACCATTTATTTTATTATTAAGTCCTTGCAACATTATCTTAATTATTCCGTATTCTAATTCTGTGTGAGAGATAGTATTACTCTCATTTTTCAAGTAGGAAATTAAAATCCAGTCAAAATAATAATTAACTTTTCCAAGTTTACAGATCTAATTAGTCTGATACCCATCCAAAACAGACACCAACTAAAACAATCAGTGTGGTCAACTTTTTATACTGGTTGTATATGAGCCCTGTTTATATTTCATTATAGATTTTTAAGCCTCTGGGCAAGGATTCATTCTTATTTAAATGGATTTTTATCCCTCGCTTGGTGTCTCAAACAGTATTTCACACATATCTGGTGTTCAATAAATGTTTGTTGAATTGGAGTAAACCTGAGACTGAAATCTGGAAAAACCCAATAAACATATAACAAGTGGGTAATTTGTGAATACTCAAAAAATAAAACATAACTTGTAGTTTTGGTATAATTGCAAAAAAATAATCTGAAAACAGTCCTGGGTCAGAGACCCAGTAATTCTGGTTAAAGGTATAGATACAGCTATATATGTATATATGTAACATCTATATTTTTATCTTATAACTTTTACATATGCATAAATATATCCATACTATCTAGATATAAATAACGTATCTAGATATAGATAAGGGATATATCTTTATTTATACCTAGATAGAGATATATATGTTAAAGTATATATGGGTAGAGGAAGAGAGACTTAAAAAGACTATAGACAGAGAAAAGGGAGGGAAACCAGGTGAATTTAGGTTACTAATGCCAATACAAGAGAAAGAGAATGGTCAATAGTGAAGTTTTGATTTTGTGTTAATGAAGTTGTTTCATGATTTTTGAAATGGAAGTTGTGAAGAAGTAGAAAATTCCATTTTAAAACTTTTGGCTGTAAAAAGTAAGAAAAGGATCAATGGTAAGCTGGAGAGTGCTGTGGGTAAAGAGAGAGGTGTTGTTTGTTGTTTGCTTGTCTGTTTGTTTTTTAAGATGGAAGAGTCGTGACCTGGTTTAAGACGGTTTCTTTAGCTGCTATGTCCTACTCACTCCATAAGATTCAGCTCAGGTGTTATCTTCAGGAAACTGTTCCTGCACTTGGTCAAATTGCCTCTGTTGTCTTAGCACTGTCAACAGGCCATCATCATAGAACTTAGGATACTTTAATGACTGTATCAATTTAAATGTCTTATCTTCTTCAGGCTGTAAATTTTATGATCAAGTGTTTCTTATCTTTGAATCATCAATTCTTGGCAACGGTTTACAAAAGAAAGTTTTCAAATGATGTTTAACCAAACTACGGAACTTTTTTGTTTTAAATTTCCCCTGCCTTTTTATAAATCTTTCTGTGTCTGTATTTTGTACTTATTTTTTCTCTTATAACACCTGTAATACTTTTCAATAGCAATTATTCTTTTTCACATAACTAAACAGCATACTTGTATTATCCATTTTTGTCATACTAACATCTAGCACAGTGCCTATCATTCATTCATTGACTATTCAATTATTTCTTGAGTAACCAGTCATTATTCTAAATTCTGAGACTATCATAGTGAAAAAAAGACTTATCTTCTTGTAAAGGAAAAGAGACAATAGATAATCAATAGATAATAGACAATAATCCAATAAGTAAAAAAGACTATTTATTATAGTAATTAATGAAAACAAATGGTGATACGATATAATGTCTGTTGAAAGTGAGGAGTCATTACTTTAGATAGAATACTTAGGGGCAGAATCAAGAAAGTAAGAATACTACTTGTGGATATAAAGAATTACATATGAATCTTCAAAACATAATGGTTTTTCTAATATAATCATGGTAGAAAATTTGAATATACAGAAAAGTCTGGAGTGGAACATTATAACTATAAGCCTTTATCCCAAGAATAACTAATGTTGATTATTTTTCTTGTACAAATGTTTCTCCCTTTTTCTCTTTTTATAAATTGAGATCATATAGTTTTCATGTTTTTAATTATTGGAAAAAATAAGAAAAGTGAAAATAAAAAAGGACAAAAATAAAAACATCTATATATCTCGTACTAAATAAATATTTTGACATATAAACATCACATCTTTAAGTTTTAAAGAAATAATATATTGTAATGTTCAGTTTATATTTTGTTTATAGTCTCATTCCCCTCATTTTTTTCTCCCTCCAGATGCAACTAATATGAATTTGGTGTATTTTAATACTTCTGCTAGATTAGTATTTTTAAAATACTATTACTTTGTGGCTTCTTCTAATGTGCATAAAAAACATTAGTACATAACTGGAATAATTGAATATAAATTTATGGTAATTTCTTTTTTTCACTGAGCATTAATTCTGGATTTTAGTTTTATTCATGCAGGCACAAATAGATCTAGTTTATTTATAAGTCATAAGTGTTAAGCTTGATGAATTTTCACTGAATATATCTATGCAACCAGTACCTAGTTTAAGAAACAGAACATAACTAGCATCTCTGAACTCTTCCTGAGGTCTATGTTTGAATTTTATATCTGCCTTCTTTTGTCCAACATTGTTTATGAAATTTATTCTTATTGTTGTATATATAGTTATTCTTTCCTATTATATATTGTTTTCTTCAATCAATTCAACTTTTTAAATTTGTTCATTCAACTATTAATGAGTATTTGAGCAGTTTCCAACTTGTGGCTCTCAACTGGTGATACTATAAACATTCTAGTACATTTTTTTGTTAACATATGTACCTACTTCAGTTTGGTTTATAGCTAAGAATTGCTGGTCATGGGATACACATATGTTCAGCTTTACTGATAGTGCCAAACAGTTTTCCAAGGTATTGTACAAAATTACATTTCCATCAGCATTGTTTGAGAATTCAGGTTTCTCTGCCTCCTTTGCAACACTTGATATTTTCTGTCCTTTTCGTTTTAGGCATCATATAGAGTTGTCATATTATCTCATTGTGGTTTAATTTGCATTTCCCTGATTATTAATGAAGTTTTCATGTGATTATTGGCCATTTAGATATTCTCTTTTATGATACCCTTATATATGTAGCGTTCATACGTGTTTTTTTCTCTAAAAAATCTAAAGATTTTCTGTGTCTATTCTTCACTCAGTCTACATAAGGGAGGACCTTGGTAATTTTTAAATTACTACTGTTCTGTCACCAGTTGTATGCCTTTAAGCAAGTTACTTAACCTAATTTTGCTTGTTCCCTAATCTGCAAAGTGGGAAATAATAGTACTTACCTCATAGAGTTGTGAGAATTAAATAAATATATATAAAACACTGTGAACAGTGCCTGGCGTATAGTATTTGGTCTATAAATGTTAGATATTATTGTTGTTTTTGGTGAAAGGATATATAACATATATCAAGGGGACAGAATAGAGAGAATACAGAAATAGATTACAGAAATAGGTTGACACAAATATAGCTAATTGATTTTTGACAAGGATGCAAAGGAAACTCAAGGAAGAAAGGATAGGCTTTTCAACAAATAGTGTTGGACAACTGGATATACATATGAAAAAATAAGAACTTGATTCATACCTTGCACTTTATGCAAAAATTAATTTAAAATGAATAATAAATTAAATATAAACATAAAACTATCAATCTTTTAGAAGAAAACAGAGGACAAAGTACAACTTGGGTTACGCAAAGAGCTCTCAGATAAGATCCATAGAAAAAAGTTGATAAATTGGATATCAACAAAATTAAAAAGTTTTTCTCGGTGAAAGACATTTAAGAGAATTGGAAAGACAGCCACAGATTGGAAGAAAATATTTCCAATTCACATATCTGACCAAGGACTTGTACCCAGCATGTATGAAGAATTCTAAAAAATGAGCAAAGATTTAAACATGTACTTCACTGAAGATGATATATGGATGATAAGCATATGGCAAGATGTTCAACCTCATAATCCACTAAGGAAATGAAAATAAAACCACAGTAGAAAGCCACTGTACCTGTATTAGAATGGCTGAAATAAAACTGACAGTATGAAGTGGTGGTGATGATACAGAGCAATACGAAGTAGAACTATTGCATATTGCTGGTGGGAAAGCAAGACAATACAGTCACTTTGGAAAGCAGTTTGGCAGTTTCTCATAAATTTAAATATATACTTGATACCTGACATTGCTGAAATAAAACCTTATATTTAAATAAATATCTGTATGCAAGTATATAGTAGCATTTTTCCCTAATAACCCCAAACTGAAAACAACCAAGTGTCTCTCAGCTGGTGAATAAACAAACTGGGGTACATCTATAAAATGGAATGTTACTCAACAATAAAAAGATATGAATCACTGATACATGCAATAACATGGATGAATCTCAACTGCATTATGCTAAGTGGAAAAAAGCTAGACTCAAAAGGCCATGTATTGTATAATACCATATATAAGAAATCTGGAAAGGCAAAAGTGTAAGGTTAGAGAATGTGTATGGAAAACGATTAGTGGTTGCGGGCAGTTAGTGCTTGACCCGCTTACAGGCAGCGTGAGGAAACCTGGCGGGGGAGGGTGATGAAAGTGTTCTGTAAGTTGACAGTGGAGATAATTAAATACTCTTTGTATCTGCCTAAACTTATACAACTACAAACACATGTACAAAAGTAAATTTTACTATGTGTAAATTTAAATTATTTTAAGTAAAAATCTTAGGTTGTACCTCTTTAAATATTGCTTCTCTCTTCTGTATCTTCTGGAACCCTTATTTGTTTTATGTTGCATACTCAATATTTTCCAAATATAATTTACTTATAATTTTTTTATGTAATTGGGCAAATTTCTCAGTATTATCTTTTATTTCATTAATTGGGTTCAAGGAAGAGTTTACTCCGTTTTAATGTTTTTAAAATTTTTATTTCTAAGATTCCTCCTTAGTTCATTTTTGGTCTTTTATTGGTGCCTCAGGACTCCCTTCTCTAAGAGATGTTGGTAATATTGTTATTCACTGTGCCAGAGACTGGTTTGGTCTAAGTCTTATCTCAATGATTTTCTTTGCTTCTTCTAGCTAATTCCTGCTTCCAGATCTTCTAGCATGCCTGTGGTGTTAGTCCTTACTTACTTCTCGGTTGATTTTCTCCTATTGTCCATAGAGATCTTTACCTTACATTTAAGCACGACTATGTATTTAAAATTTTTTAATTGTGGGTTTTATCTATCTTGCTTCTATCCTTTAATACTATCTGACATCTACTTGTACCACTGTATCAGTAATTCTCAGCTGGGGCAATTTTACCCACCTTCCGGAATATGTAATACCTGAGGACATTTTCAGTACAGTGCACAGGACTGTCCCTACAACAGATTATCTGGTTCCAAAGACTGATAGTATTGAAGTTAAGAAACCCTGCACTAAATTAAAGAATACTATATTTTTCTTTCATAATATCATCATAACTCATTTAATTGACTTCATACTGTGGGGTATTTAGAGGTTTTTTGTATTATATATATCACTTTGATAAATAGCTTTATATAACTTTTTTGGTACCATTAATTCCCAAATGTAGACATTTCTGAACAAAAAGAAAACTAAGATTTGAGAGACCAGATATTAAGGAAAAAACTAAGATTCTTGGAAGCTGGAAATTACTTATGAATAAAATACGGGAACAGTCTTTATCATGTCATATGCCTAGTAGAACTTATAATATGTTTACACATAAAGATCTTCTGTTAGTTTTATACTTTTAAACCCCTTTTTTTCCCCCAAATAATACACTCTTAAGTTATTTTAAGAGCCTTCAAGTTCTACAAAATGTTCTGTGAAAGCTTTCTACAGCTTGCTTTTTGCTTAAGTAGCAGATTTCAGAATCTTAATGAATACTTTAATATTTTGTAATGAATACAATCTGACTATAATTGCCTTTGTTTATTTATTTTTCTTTTAATACATACTAATATTAAGGTTGTTAGTATTAAGATAATAGAACAAGCAGAGAACTGGCTATAATTTGCTAACTAACCTTAGTTTGGTTTCTTCTCAATTTTAACACCTATAAAAAGGAGTTATACCTGCAATTCCTATAGGCTTTTTCAATTATAAACCTGTGATATGCTACTATTTCATATTGCTTTTATTTAGGTTTGGCTATGATCTTTTACTGTTCTTGAGATAAAGTATAGGTAAAACATTTTTAAATTCCTAAGACCTTTAAAAATTCCTTATACTTGTTCTTCATTATTCTCATCTACCTTTTTGTAGTGGTTGATAATCAAAACCTTAAAATGAAGTATCTTATGTTGGAGGACTGCAAAGAACGATACTAGAAAGATAACAAATTCACAGCGGGACAGGGAAGGGAGAAAACTAGATAAGAAAAAAGGAGGTGACAGCTGTACAAAAAGCAAACAAAACCTAGGTCTCAAATCCTGGCAGAGTAAGAGAAATGCACCCTAATCAGCATGAGGCCCCGTGTAATTCTCAAACTCAGGGTCTTGAAATTTATTAGAATTGCACAAGAGCAGAATTCAGGTCTCCCAACTTCCTAGTTAATATTTTAACACTACACTATGTAGTAACTTTTGAAATATTATATCATTTAATTTTATCTAGAGATTGAGGATACATGCATGAAATATTCTTTTATAATTTATTTGTATAGGTTCTTTTAATCACTTAACCTATTTTCTGGCTGCTGGTGCTATTACTTTCGGAATTGGTTTCTTTGCTTTGGCATCAGCTTTGTGGTTCCTGATTTGCAAAAGAAGGTAAGGTTTATCAGAGTATTCTACTTTTTCTCTTTTAAAAATCCAATGAAAGCCTTTTTCAAATGGTAGTAAATTTAACTAACTAAAATAGTATTGAATCTGTAATTTGAAATTTGGTTATAGAACCTTCAATTGGGAGGGAAAGCTTTACATGTTTAAAGTAGCTGAAAAGAGAAGTCCTAGTAGTATAATTGTCCAGGTAATACAATAGCAATCTTCATGCATTAAAAGTTAAAAAATTATAATATCTATTGTATTCTTTAAAAGACATATTTTGAGTTATAATATAAAGCTAGAAGATTTTTAAATTTTTCACTACTAATATAGGTTAAAAACATGGCTGACAGGACGTTTCCCATTCTTGAGAAGATATTTAAGGAAAGAGCTGTAGCCTTTAGCCAGATACAGAAAAAAAAACATACTTGGCACCTCAGTTCTTTTCAACCTTAAAATTTGGTGTTTTTTAAATTGAATTTATTGGGGTGACATTTGTTAATAACGTTACAGAGGTTTCAGGTGTACAATTGTATAATACATCATTTGTGTATTGTATTGTGTGTTCACCATTCCAAGACAAGTCCCCTTCTACCACCACTTACCCCCACTATACACTATTCCACTATTCTACCTTCCCACACTTCCTTTTCCCTCTGGTAATCATACTGTGGCCTGTGTCTATGTGTTGCTTTTTTGGTGGGGCTCCATCCCTTCAACTTCTTCACCCAGCCCCCCTACTTTCCTTCTCTTCCACAATTGTCAGTCTGTTCTATCTAGGAGTCTGTTTCTATTTTGTTCGTTTATTTTGCTTGTTTATTTTGTTCATTAGATTCCACATGTAAGTGAGGTCATATAGTACTTGTCTTTCTCAGACTGGCTTATTTCACTTTTCTCAGACTGTCATGATAGTCTCCAGGTCCATCCATGCTGTCACAAAGGGTAAGATCTCCTTCTTTTTCATGGCTGAATAGTATTCCATTATGGAAAGGTACCACAACTTTTTTATCTACTCATCTACTGACAGACACTTGGGTTGCTTCCAAATCTTGGTTACTGTAAATAACACTGCAATGAACATAGGGCTGCATATATTCTTTCAAATTAGTATTTTAGGTTTCTTTGGGTATACTCCTAGAAGTGGAATCATTGGGTCATAGGCACTTCCATTTTTTATCTTTTGAGGAAACACCATACTGTTTTCCACAGTGGCTGCACCAGTCTGCATACCCACCAACAGTGCACAAGGGTTTTCTTTTCTCCACATCCTCACCAACACGTGCTGTTTGTTGATTTATTGATGATAGCCATTCAAACAGGTATGAGGTCATATCTCATTGAGGTTTTAATTGGCATTTCTCTGATGATTAGTGATGTTGAGCATCTTTTCATATGTCCATTGGCCATCTGTATGCCTTCTTTGGAGAAGTGTCTATTCAGGTCCTTTGCCCATTTTTAATTAGATTGTTTATGTTTTTGGTTTTGAGTTGTATGAGTTCTGTATGAATTTTGGATATTAGACCCTTGTCAGATATGTCAGTGGCATATACATTATCCCATTCAGTGGGTTGTCTTTTCATTTTGGTGATGGGTTCCTTTGCTGTACAAAACCTTTTTAGTTTGATGTAGTCCCATTGTATATTTTTATTTTTGTTTGTTTCCCTTGCCTGAGGAGATGCATCAGAAAAAATATTGTTATGAGAAATATTGGAGATTTTACTGCCTATGTTTTGTTCTAGGATTTTTATGGTTTCAAGTCTAACATTTAGTCTTTAATCCATTTGAGTTTATCCTTGTGTATGGTTTAAGAAGGTGGTCTAGTTTCTTTTTTCTTTCTTTCTTTTCTTTTTCTTTTTCTTTTTTTTTTTGACACCTTTCTGTCCCAACACAATTTATTGACTGGATTGTCTTTACCCCATTGTATGTCCTTGTCCCCTTTGTCAAATGTTAATTGACCTTATAGACAGGGGTTTATTTCTGGGCTCTCTATTTTGTTCCATTGATCAAAGTCCATTTTTATGCCAGTACCATGCTCTTTTGATTACTATGGACTTGTAGTATACAAGAGGGTACCAAAAACCCTGAAATTTATTTATAAAAAACTGTGCATTTATTCTTACATATTTAAACTTCAGTCACCTTCAAAGTGCTTTCTATTTGATGCAATACACATACCAAGGCTTTTATCCACTGCTCAAAACAGTTTTTGAACTTGTTGATTTTAATGCTGTTTAGTGCTTCTGGCATTTTTTGTTTCACCTTTTCCACATTGGCAAAATGTTTAACTTTGAGGACTTTTTTTATCTGAAGAAACAAAAAAAGAGTCACTCGAGGCGAGATGGGGTGAATAGGGAAGGCAGGCATGGAGTCATGCCATTTTTGGTCAAAAACTGCTGAACACTCAGCACAGTGTGGGCAGGTGTGCCGTAAATCACCCATCATGAAATGGGCCAATTTGTTGAAAGAGTCTTCAAAAAAACTTCACTGAAGCTGAACACAGCCTATCACAACAACACGAGATGGTACACTGATACAGGTGGTTTTCTAGAATATACATCTAGCAGGGGAAGCCTATACTACAACAGGCCTGACTCCAGAAGATAATTTTGGGTTTTTTGGGGGAGGGGGGTCCCCTCTCATAGTTTGATATCAGGTAGTGTGATTCCTCCAATTTTGTTCTTTTTTTCTAAGATTGCTGTGGCTATTCAGGATCTTTTGTGGTTCCATATAAATTTTTGGAATATTTGTTCTAGTTCTGTAAAATATGCCATTGGTATCTTGATAGGAATTGTGTTGAATCTACAGCTTGTTTTGGATAGTATGGACATTTTAATGATGTTAATTCTTTCTATCCATGAACATGATCTATGCTTTCACTTATTTGTATCTTCTTCAGTTTTTTTTCCAGTGTCTTATAATTTTCCAAGTACAGATCTTTTGCATCCTTGGTTAAATTTACTCCTAGGTATTTTATTTTGATGGAATTGTAAATGGGACTGTTATCTTAATTTCCCTTCCTCATAGGTCATTATTGGTGTATAAAAAAATGCAACTGATTTCTGGATATTTAATTTGTATTTTGCTACTTTACTGAATTCATTTAGCAGTTCTAGTAGTTTCTTGGTGGAATCTTTAGGGTTCTCTATATACATTATCATGTCATCCACAAATAATGACAGCTTTATTTCTTCCTTCCCAATCTGGATGCCTTTTATTTCTTTTTTTTTTTTTTTCCTTTTTTTCTTTTCTTTTTTTCTGATTGCTGTGGCTAGGAATTCCAGTACTGTGTTGAGCAAGAGTGGTGAAAGAGTAAATCCTTGTCTTGTTCCTGCTCTTAAGGGAAATGCATTTAGTTTTTGCCCATTAAGTATGATGTTGACTATGGATTTGTCATATATGGCCTGTGTCATGTTGAGGTATGTTTCCTCTAGTTTCACTTTTCTAAAAATTTTTTATCATAAATAGGTGCTGGACTTTATTAAATACTTTTTATGCATCTGTTGATATGATTATGTGGTTTTGTATTCTTCATTTTGTTTATGTGCTATGTCACATTTATTTATTTGTGGATATTATAACAACCTTGCCTCCCTGGAGTAAATTCCACTTGATCATGGTGCATGATATCTTAATGTACTGCTGGATCTGGTTTGCTAATATTTTGTTGAGGATTTTAGCCTCTATGTTCATCAGGGATATTGGCCTATAATTTTCTTTCTTTGTGGTGTCTTTATCTGGTTTTGGAATTAGTCTAATGCTGGCCTAGTAAAATGAGCTTGGAGTCTTCCCTTCTCTTGAGTTTTTTTAAATAGTTTGAGGATAAGATTTAGTTCTTTTTTGAATGTTTCATAAAATTCACATCTGAAGCCTTCCAGTCCCAACTTTTTGTTTGTTGGCAGTTTTATGATACTGGTTCAGTTTCATTTGTGTAATCTATCTACTCAGGTTGACTGATCCTTCTTTATTCAGTTTTGTATGATTGTATGCTTAGGAATTTATTTTGTCCAGATTGTCCAATTTATTGGCATATAGTTGTTTGAAATATTTCCTTAAAATCCTGGTTGTCAGTTGTTACTTCTCTTTCATTTCTGGTTTTATTATTTGGGTCTTCATTTTTTCTTGATGAGTGTGCTTAAAGATTTCTCAATCTTGTTTATCTTTTCAAAGAACCACCTCTTGGTTTTGTAGATCTTTTGTACTGTTTTGTTAGATTCTATTTCATTTATTTCTGTTCTGATCTTTATTATTTCCTTTCTTCTGCTCACTTTGGGCTTTGTTTGTTATTTTTTTCCAGCTTCCTTTTAAATGTAAAGTTAAATTGTTTATTTGAGATTTTTCTTGTTTCTTGATATAGGTCAGTAATGCTATGAATTTCCTTCTTAGTGCTGCTTTGCCTATGTCCCATGAATTTGGGGTTGTTGTATTCTCATTTTATTTATTTCAAGGTCTCTTGATTTCTTCATTGATCTCATTGTTAACCAATTCATTGTTTAATGGCATGTTATTTAGCCTCCATGTTTTGTGTGTTTTTTAGTTTTTATGTTGTGATTGAGTTCCAGTTTCATAATATTATGGTTAAAGAAGATGCTTGCTCGATATGATTTAAGTTTTCTTCAATTTATTGATACTTGTTTTATGTCCTAACCTGTGGTCTATCCTAGAAAATGTTTCATGTTTACATGAAAAGAATACATATTCTGTTGCTCTGGGATGAAATGCTCAGAATATATCAATTAAATCTATCTGATCTAGTGTGTCATTTAAGGCCACTGTTTTCTTGTTGATTTTTTTTTTGTCTGGAAGACCTATCCATTGATGTTAATGGGGTGTTAAAACCCCATACTATGCCCTAGCTGGTATGGCTCAGTGGAATGAGTGCTGGTCTGTGAACCAAAGGGTTGCCAGTTTGATTTCCAGTCAGGACACACGCCTCAGTTGTGGGCCAGGTCCCCAGTAGGGGGTGCACAAGAGGTAACCACACATTGATGTTTCTCTTCCACTCTTTC